GGTTGCGGGCACATCCCCACTGGGGGGCGTGCAGGAGGCAGCTGATCGATCTCTCTCATCGATGTTTCTGGCTCTCTGTCCCTCTCCCTTCTTCTCTGTAAAAAATCAATAAAATATATTTAAAAAAAAAAAAAGAATACCATTCAACATTTCATGTAATACTGGTTTGGTGGTAATGAACTTATTTAGTTTTTTCTTGTCTGTGAGGCTCTTTAAGTGACCTTCAATTCTAAATGATAGCTTTGCTGGGTAGAGTAATCTTGGTTGTAGGTCCTTGCTATTCATCACTTTGCTTGCAAAGTTTCTGTTGAGAAATCAGCTGACAGTCATATGAGTGCTCCCATGTGGGTAACTAACTGCTTTTCTCTTGCTGCTTTTAAGATTGTCTCTTTGCCTTTAACCCTTGGCATTTTAATTATGATGTGTCTTGGCGTGGGCCTCTTTGGGTTCCTCTTGTTTGGGACTCTCTGTGCTTCCTGGAATTGTAAGTCTATTTCTTTCACCAGGTAGGGGAAATTTTCCGTCATTATTCTTCAAATAGGTTTTTAATATCTTGTTCTCTCTCTTCTCCTTCTGGCACCTTCATAATGTGAATGTTGGTACACTTGAAGTTGTCCCAGAGGCTCCTTACATTATCTTCATATTTTTGGATTCTTTTTTCTTTTTGCTCTTCTGATTGGGTATTGTTGTATTGCTTCCTTGTATTCCAAATCATTGATTTGATTTTTGGAATCCTCTACTCTACTGTTGAATCCCTGTAAATGATTCTTTATTTCAGTTAGTGTATGCTTAATTCCTGACTGGTCTTTTTTCATGTCTTTGAGATTCTCACTAAGATCTTTGAAAGTCTCACTAAGGCCCTTGAAGCTCTCATTAAGATCCTTGAGTAACTTTATAACCATCGTTTTGAACTCTGTATGCAGTAGTTTGCTTGCTTACATTTATTTCATTTACAATATGTTTCTTTGTCTCTGCATTGTGGCCGCTTCCCTGTATCTGTTTCTGTATTTTAGGTAGAGCTGTTATGTCTCCTGGAATTGGTAGAGTGGCCTTATGTATTAGGTGTCCTGTAGGGCCCAGTGGCTCAGTCTCCTGAGTCACCTAAGCTGAACACTCTAGGTGCACCCCTGTGTGGGCTGTGTGCAGTTTTGTTGTAGTTGAGCCTTGATTGCTGTTGGCATCACTGGGAGAAATTGACCTCCAGGTCATTTGGCTCTGAGAACCAGCTGTGTCTATAATGAAAGAGCTTCTGTGCAGGAGACACCCTTATGGAGCAGGACTTGCTTCATTTGGGGCTTTGGTGCTCACTGAGTCTGCCCCTTGAGTGTGTCACTTGTGGATCTGAGGAGTTGTACTCTGGTATGGTCTGAAGCTGTCCACTGGGTGCACTGGCTCTGGGACCTCCCAGGAGGTTACAAATCCAGCTACTGCCTGGGGCCACCAGCAGAAGCTACAGAGAGATCTGCAGAGCTAGGAGGTGCCCAGGAAAAGCCCAACTGTGAAGTAGGCAGGGTGGTGGGCCTTTTATTGATAGGTTTGGGGCATGATGACTCCAGCTGCTGCTTAAGATATTTTAGCAAAGTCTGAAGCCTGAAACAGGACAGGCCATTGATATGGAAAAGCAGCTGCAAACAGCTTGGGTGAGGCTGCAAATTGGATGGGGCAGGGTCTCAGGGAGTCACCTGGGCAGAGCACACAGTGTGGCCCAAGCTGATGGAAACTCAGCTATGGCTGCTAGTCAGTTCTGTAACAGGGGAGGTCCCAGCACAGGAACAACTACTCCTGTGAACACCCCTGTCTGGGAGAAAGCTGCCCCTGAGTTCCTGCCCCAATGCCAGACAGTCCAGTTCCTCCTCATATGTTCCTGGATTCCTCCAAAGCCACCATCCAGCCCTGGAGCTCAGAGAAAGCGGGATCATATAAGTTCATGCGCAGGCCCTTTAAGAGGAACACCTGGGACTCCAGCAGCCTCTGTGTCACTCAGCCACGATCCCAGCTGGTTTTTATAGCAGTTATGGGGACTTCTCTTCCCAGCTCTGGAATCCTGGTCTAGGAGTCAGGTGTGGGACGGGGACCCCCTGCTTCTCACAGGAGTCTTTGGAGATATCCCTCCAGATTAAAAAACGCCACACATGGGTGTCAGACCAGCCCAGTCCACTCCTCTGCCCCTCCTTCCAGCCTCAATGTGCTTTCTTCTTTACTTCTCTATTTGTAGGACTTCCATTCAGCCAGATTTTAGGTGGTTCTGAATGATGGTTGTTCTGTATTTCAGTTGTAATTGTGATGTGGTTGTGGGAGGTGGCGAGTACCAGTGTTTACCCACACTGCCATCTTTGGCAATGACTTTATTTTAAAAAATTAATCTCGGAGAGGAAGGGAGAAAGAGGGAGAGGGAGAGGGAGAGAGAGAGAGAGAGAGAGAGAGAGAGAGAGAGAGAGAGAAACATCAATGATGAGAATCATTGATCAGCTGCCTCCTGCACACCCCACATTGGGGATCAAGCCCACAACCCGAGCATGTGCCCTGACCAGGAATCAAACCGTGACCTCCTGGTTCATAGGTTGTTGCTCAAGTACTGAGCTACGCCAGCTGGGCTTGGCAATGACTTTTTAGATACAACAGCAAAGGCACAAACCATGAAAGAAAGAATTGATGTTAGGCTTCATTAAAATGAAAAACTGCTCTGCAAAAGACAGTCAAGAGAATGAGAAGATAAGCCACAAATTGAAAGATGCATATCTGATAATGGACTGTTATCCAAATATGCAAAGAACTCTTAAGACTCAATAAGAACAAGACCCACTCAATTTGCCCTAGCCGTTTGGTTCAGTGGTTAGAGCGTTGGCCCATGGACTGAAGGGTCGCAGGTTCGATTCCGGTCAATGGCACGTATCTAAGTTGCAGGTTTGATCCCTGGCCCCAGTCAGGACATGTGTGGGAGGCAACCAATTGATGTCTCTTTCACACTGATGTTTCTCTCTGTCTCTCCCCATCCTGTCCACTCTCTCGTAAAAACAAAGAAAGAAAAAAACAAAAACTATGGAAAAAATATCTTGGAATGAGGGTTAACAAAACGAGGGCAGAAGATTTTGATACCTCAGCAAAGATACTTGCATATAAGTACATGAAAATATGATCAACATTATATTATCAGGGAAATGTAAATTAAAATGAGATACTATGAAGCTATTAGAATGGTCAAAATCCAAAGGTGACACCACCAAATGCTGGCAAGGAACT